CTCGATGTAGGATTGAATTACCTTGCTCACAGTATTGTCCAGTGTAGGGCCAGAAGCAGCTACAGTACGGATAGCTACCACTGTAGACACAGCTTCCACCGTTGAGACAGCCACACGCTGAAGTACGAAAATAAAATACGGATCAGCCTATTGAACATCAATGATGCGGGATGTGTTACTTATCTTTACTATTTAACCCTGTATAAGGCAGAGATCAAAGACCCACTCAAGACGCTGGTGAGGACCATCTTCAGTGCCTGTGCTGATAGTTACTACAGGGCCTACAGYAATAGACCCTTTTCGAGTTCCAAAYTACCGCTGTGTTWCTTGATTACAGACTCATWTACTCAGGCTTAGCCTCGATTTTGTGCAGAATATTCACGTGTTCCAGTCAAGGTCCGTCAAGTTTCAAAGTGTTTGTATTGTTGAAGTTGTGCATTCTTTACTTTACCGTTGGTATTTGTGAATATTTAACCACTAATGCGAGGCTAAGTCTGAGTAAATGAGTCTGTAATCAAGAAACACAGCGGTAATTTAGAACTCGAAAAGGGTCTATTAATGAAAGCTGTTGGTGGTGTCCCTTCCCTCAAAGGAAAAGTGAAGCACTTATAGAAAACTCGAGAGAGGTATTTTAGGAGAAGCACGATGAACATTGTTGTGCCAATAGTTCCCTTCATAGCAGGAAATAGCCATCCTGAAAGGTAGCCGTGCCTTTACATCGAAGCGAGACGAACGGTGAGCTTGCAATGATGGAGGCCTTTGCTTAACACCTTTTACAATTATTCACATGTATCTATCATTGCGAGCTCACCGTTCGTCTTGCTTCGATGCAAAGGCACGGCTACCTTTCAAGATGGCGCAGGGAACTGTGAAGGGGACTATTCCCAAGTGTTTCATAGTTGCACTTAGCAGAGCCGACACAGTTTTTTTTATTTCGTCCTTGAATAACCATTCCAAATTCTTTTGGATAGGTTTTTGAAATTCTGTTTGCCTACGCTACAAAAATTTCTTATCGAGGAAATCAAGAGGCATAGAGGTAATGCACTCGCCTCTCACTTCTTGGGTCTCCACAGGTAGCCCAAGCTTGGTTTCTGTGGTGTCATGTTATAAGGAAATGTATGGAGATTTTTCAAAAATTTCAATCATTGAAACGTGAAATAAAGCCTCGAAATTTTACCCGATCATTGAGAAATAGCACTTCTTTCGCTCTGTGTGGTTATGTTTTGGATTTAGCCCGTTTTAAGGATCCCCCCACCAGTAAGCTATTTCGCAATGATCATATACCCTGTTCCAGAGCGAGAATCGCTGAAAATCATACCCTGTTTGGCGGCACGTACCCGTATAGCGGATATAGGAGAGTACCCCTCCCCCCCCCCTTCGGGCATAACACGTACTTGGAACAGCACAAGACTCTGCACAACTTGGACTTAGTCCTATTCCTGGACTACTTGATGTTGATGTTGGCACTGTAGAGAAAATGAAAAAGGATCAAAAAAGAATCACAAGTGAAAATAAGAAAAAGGAAAAGGTTGAGCAGAGCAGAGCAGAGCAGAGCAGAGCAGAGCAGAGCAGAGCAGAGCAGA